CAATTATACATGTTTAAAATAAAATACATTACTTGTTTTTTTTGCTTTTAAAAATAGAGTCAATTGCAAGAATAACCAAAAAAAATGGAAAAGTAACAATTTTATCATATGTGGCTACAATATTCACCCTTAGATTTAGGTTAAATGGTTAAGATTTTAATTATAAATTTTTTTTTGGTTATTGGATGCAATTTCCCTTAAAAATATGTGTGAGCAACTAAAAATTTATGATATATCTCAACAACAAATCTAACAATTTCGGTTAGTTTGATTTTGTATAATTTGAATTTGATTCGGCTAATTTAGTATATAAATTATTATACCAATTCATACAATATATAATTCAGTTCGAATTTGGATTGATGAATTTTGATTTGATGGTTCAATTCAAATATTTCGTCTATCATTTGGTGAAATACATTCTTATATAAAATAATCATAAATTCGAATATAGACAAACGAATCTCGGATTTCGTATAGTAATTTTCACATTAATTTTTATTTTTTTAACTAAAACTATCAAATTCGAATAATCATTCATACATTCACTAAGATTGATTTTTACCTAAAACTATACTAATTTAACATAATCATTATATTATCGATTATAAGTTTGAAAAGGATTACAGGTTTCTACCCAAAAGGTTTTAGTAATTAAAAAAAGGGAAAAAGAAATTACTCCATCTCCTCATTTTTTCTTATATATTCAACATCTTATCTTATCTTTTTGTTTTCGTCCGTGTTCACCTAATCGGATATCACCTAAGCAAGAAAATAGACCAGATGGGGTACATACATACATGATAGTTCTAGTCCTCTCTTATATATATTGAGGAATTTTATCGTCATCACTTACATTTTTAGGACAATCATATTAAAGGATAACCAGAAAGTGTAACATCTTTAAAAACCATTTAAAATAATACTGTGAAAGAGTAGAAAGTGTAATTAAAAGACAACCAGAATTTTGCAAGCATTGACTAGACCATTTCTCGTATATTGCAGAAGTCATGTTATTTAATGAAATAACATGCTATAAAGTAAATGCGAACATTCGATTTTTAAAATATGCTATTGAGTAAAATAGCATGAACAAATCACAATGTAAAATTAATAGCTTATTAGATCCAAGCTAATTATCTGCGACCATCCAATTTTGTTACGAGTATCCAAACTTTTCAAATCTGGATATCTATTTTTAGTTCTTCCAATATTCGATTCGTTTTCAGACCTATCCACACATATTTGATACATGTGTAGTATTTGTATGTTTATGGTCAGATTGAGTATGGCAACACATACCACAAATACAATATAGAGCGGAAAAATAGTGAGCAACTTGTTATCATTTATTCTTCTTCTTTTTTTTTTGGGTCAATATTTATCGTTTATCCATAATCAATATTTATTGTTACAAGAAACAAAGGTGCATGTAAAATGCTTCAGATACTACAGGTCTAAAAATATTAACAGCTCAATTTGGCAGAATTATAAAATCTGGATGAATTTTTTATGATTTTTTGCAGAATCTAGCGGAATAACTTAAAACTTAAATGGTAACAGCTGAATATGGCGGAATCTGACTGAATTTTTAAAAATTAGTAAATAAATTAAATTTATAAAAATAATATTTAAACAATGTTAATTATAAAAAGATAGTTAAATAAACTAGTAAAATATAAAATATAAAATTGATTTCATTAAACACAAGATAACAACATAATTTAACACAATAACTTGTAAGAATTATTTTTAAAATTTTGTTTGTAATTTTAGATATCCTAAATATTTTTACTCAATTAAATTTTCTATTATCTGAAATCAATTCGAAGTAAAACGGATTATATTACAATATTTAATAATTAACGAATACCTCCA